AAGGATATTTGTTTTCCTTCTTACACCCACCATTTTATTCGTATGACACAAAGAATTACTGTACCAAAGTTTTGTATTTCCCACACAACATTGTATGGCGTTATTTCAAGTGACGCTTGAATCGAGCCCACCTCACAAGTCTTTTCGTCCACCATGTTTGTATTACCTATTTTAGGGTAAACACCAATGACATTTAGCTCATACAAAATCTCATCCAAATCCGTCCGTCGGTATTCGAGTTTAATACATTCGATCAGATTCAGGACCACAATAAAATTTATCAACATATTTTTACTTCACTTTTATAATTATATTTCTCTCCGACGTTGTATCAACCTTTATGACTCTTTGATTGTCCGTCTCGTATTCGAAATACACAATTTATTGTTTACATGTATGAAATTCTAGTATAAATTTCTGAAGAACTACGCACACCATCAAATTTGTAATGTAAAAAGTCGTTATCACGATTAAGTCATACATTCTTCAAGCTTTAAACATTTTAAAATGTTCTTTTTGTTCCAAGCAGTATATAACAACGCAAAAACAAATCTTACCTTCAGTTCTTCTTTGGCTGTTGTCTATGAAACACATTTTATACTTTTCTATGCGTTATTCTTAATGAATTAAAAGAGCCCTTTATGATAACACACAACAGAGTTATCAACCAGCAGAAGTTGTTTAGGATTACAATTGACAGTCTCCTTTACACTCACTATGTTTATATGATAAATTTTTGTTAAGTCGGTCCTGAAGAGATGTAACAGCGAGAACAATGACACTGATTGTCTCTGGTAACGTAAAACTCAGAGCGTCTCCTCAAACAGTTTCTAGTCGTACAGACAAAATGAATAAACTCCGCGCCCGACGTCAGCTTTGAACTGCGTGTCCATGCCAGAATGCGCCTGCGCCAAACTTCCCCACTCCCACCTCAAATGTAATCACTAGACATTATGTGTATTGTCATTTCGCTTTCAGTCACCACAGAATGGATTTCCCATGACCTCTTCAGATTCACAGTTACATTCTTATATTATTTGTGATTTATGAAAATAAACCATCAATAGGTCCGATTCGTTGATTGGGAGTATAATTAGTGAATATTAAATAAAGAATGTTTGCAAAGAAGTGGCCGTGGATTTCTTTAAGTTACTATCGCGGCATTTTTGTGGAGAAACAAAGGAAAACACAAGTTATAAATCTGAGCACCACCGGGAATTGAACCCGGGACCCCAGGATTACAAGGCAAGTGTTCTGACCGCTAGACCACCGTGCCGTCTTGGAAACTCATACCTTCCAAATATGAAATGTTAACGGTCGTTAGAATTTATTCCGGAAAAATTATTGAATATGTTTCGGTCTTTGTTTTGTTTGTTTGTTTAGGTTAACAATCTAACCATAATTTTATCCGAAAGGCCAGATTTTGTACAGGGATGTCCAAATGTAACTGTCCCTTTACAACGACGTGCATTGTTATATTTCTTTGTGTTTTAATCACAGTTGCCCTGTCTCGTCTTTAAGCAGCCTGGCATCGTTGCTGCTTTTGGTTACGCGCTTTTATTTAGCGCGCCATCTTGGTCTTTCTCGTCTCTGGACACGCCTCTAACCAAACAAACGCCAAGCTGTGTTCACACTGAACACTGTTCTTATTATTACGAGTTTAAATTGCAAATTAATTGCTCTAATATTAGTTTCGGTTCATTTTGCAAAATTTAGAGCATAAACAATTAATAATACAAATTGCTTATTATTGCTTTTGAGCATTAAATAATTATTTGTTTTTTAACATTGCACTATTTTGTTCCCACGATTGTCAGCGGCGGATTGATATTAAGAGGGGAAGGCCGAAGGACTCGTGGAATGATCTTTCCCCTAATCGCTTTGTGGACCACAAATCTCGCATGGAATAAACTGGACACGAACCTGGGCCTTGACGTCGAGAACCAAGCGACTAACCGCCTGAGCTACGGCACGGCCTTATTTCCATTTTACACGTGATGGCAACATGACAAACTTAAGTACGTAAGTAGAAACAAATTTAAGAAGATACAATCTCGACAGATGCACCGACAAACTGCGTTGGTTTTAAAGTCTAGGAGCTTTACGTGTGAAAGAAAGTCTTTCGTGATCATCAGACCAGTGGCAGAAAAATTGTCACCTGTAGATGGAGCCTTGTAACTCGAAGCATGGAAAAGTTCTTTCTACGCTAAAGGGCAAAGGATTTTGTAACTGTAATTCACTGCTCATAAAACTCATTTGACTCCAAAAAATCAAACTGTATTCTATTTCAGTGTTAGAAATATCTTTTACGTACATCCCAGGACTTGACGATTTAAAACCGTGAATCCAATTGCTTTGTGTTGGTACTGTGCAGATGTAGGACATAACTCCCTGTCTCCATTTACCCAAGCCGATACAATAAAGATCAACAGGTCGAAGACAGCCCTGAAGATGGAAGCAATATGTTCCTCCAAAACGTTGCCATCTACCGACGAGTTCACACGATGCCACAACAGAAAACATTTTCTTCGTCGCCGTAGACACAAACGTCTACGGAAATAAGGGCTAACTTATGCACAACAAATCCTTCGAGATTGAGGCAAAGTCAAAATATCTGGGAACGTGAGTAACAAATTTAGATTAACATTCAGGAAGAGTTTAAGGGGACAGCAAATTCGGGGCACGCTTGTTACCATTCAGTTGAAAATAATATATATTTTGAAGATTAAAATATATTCTCCACCCATCTGTTTACAACACGAATTGTTCTTGAGTGAATATATAGATAATAAAAATTATGACTTGTCTACTTATTGCAGACGTTGAATCCCTCAAAGCGGAAATGAACCTTGGATTATTTGAAGCCGCTTATTTAACTGGAAAGGAACGCCAATGCAGGGTAAATGAATCGGGAAGGTGGGCATTTTTGCAAACATATTAAGACCACGATAAACTTTGTTATTGAGCCTACAACTAATTTCCCTGGACCTGAGGGCATTGTGTGCCGGATAAGTCAGGTCCTCAGTTTGTGGACTTTGACGTATGCTTCATGCACACGAAACACGAAGCTGGAACTCTTAACATTTTCCGTAAAAAAAAAAAATTAAAGGACGAGAAACCTCATTAAGGATAGTCGATCTTGGGGCTTAGATATAAACATTAAAAGTAAAATTTAAAAACGTAATATTTTCCCTGTGCTTAAGCATCGAGCTGTGAAAACGCATTGGAGAAAAGAAATACACGAATTCTTAATCTCGCCGTTGATTACGAAGTGAGTCACTGCGTCAAGCTCTGGCCGCTTTACCCCTTGCTGGGGAAATTGTGTCCATTTTATAGGGGTCTTGGTAGATTCAAAGCAGGTATGGGCATGGAGGGCAAGAAAGCAATCGCTCACCGTTCCGGGAGTCGAATTCCAATCTTCCAGCCTATAATCAGTCCCTTTAGCGACAAGCCTTAGTTCTGTTGAAACTGTTTACGTTTATTTGCAATTATAACCGTGTTACTGAAAGTCGTACATTTTATAACGTGCGTGTGTGTATCCATAGCCCGAGTGCTGCTAGGAGCAAACTTCAAATATACATACAAGAGGGTGATTTCTACTCAGCATAATTCTCATAAGTATGGAGCAGGACTGGTGCAAAGTCTTGCATTGTAAGTTAGAGTCTGAAACATAAAACCAACAGCTCCCTTATCCGTGACATTCAAATTTCTTTTAATGCCCAATTTCTTTGTATGCATTGATGATGTGTCAGAGTACTTGTTTACTTGAAAATTAACAAATTGTATTTTAATCCTACGGAAGGACACGCAGATTTCGCATTACGTCTAAGTATAATTTACAGCTACTTGCATTTCGTAGTTGCAGTCATAAAAAAATAGGTAGACGAGCCTCGCAATCTATAATTTGCACAGAAAATTCTCATCGTGGTTACCCCTTCCGAGTTTTGTTCTGTCTTCGACTTTCTCTCCCTGATTTACCGGAAAACAAAGTTTTTGCACGCCTGTGGGAAGAAAGAAAATTTGCTTTTAAAAATCTTTGTGATTTTCTTTCCTTAGATCTTGGTTGTGACAAAATAGTCATTCCCCTTCCTTTTAAGTCCCCACCCAGGAAACTCCATTACCCTACTCGTAGGCTTATTTTCTTGGTCGGAATCTAGTTTCATAAAATTAGTTAGCAAAATGCCAAAGGGGAAAAAATAGATCTTAATCTTCTGGCCGTAAAGGTTTCAGATTGATGTGTTTAAAATTCGACGACCTTTTCTCTGGCGACTCTGGTTTATTTTTTGTGTAATATCAAAGGGAAAGTTACAAAATATTTTAATTACATCACGATTATTCTGTCTTCTGACGAGGTTTCGTGAAACCCATTTTATTTTGCATAGATAAGTAATTGAAGGAAAGATTCAGCTCAAAAAAGGTTAAATGTCTCTGCTCTCTCCTTAAGATATTTAAATTAAAACCAAATTACTTTCTTTCGTGTTGTGCGTTGTAGTCAGTATTTTGCGAAAAATGCTAAATTGTTGGAACTTTGCTTCTAAAGAAGGTTCCATCAGTTCGATAAACATTCAGAACATACTCTGAAGAGCTCTGAAAGTTATCTTAACTGGTATGGACCGTTCAGGCACTAAACATGATCCTGAAGACAGAAAGAACTGAAACATATTTTGTGGATTCCTGTGATCAGGGAAGGATTTAGGATAAGGCGATTCACATGACGTCCTTCGACGTCGCGCTTGGTTTCTGCATGGTTTCATAATTTATAACGAGGCCACACAAACAACTTCAATCTCCATGAAAACTAATTGGGGTTAAAAGGGTTTTCAAAATTTCAATTAGGATGAGATAAAATGACAATCTCATTTCCTAAATTTTAAAGACTTATGAAGTATCCCTATGACGACGACACTCTCATCCACTGTTCGTCTGTACGTTTATAATTTCTGGAGAATACGTAGAGTAAATTTAATTCCTGTTGCCTGCATGAGTATTTTATCATCATCTATGGTGCTTCGGCCCATTTTCGAGCCATGACCTCGCTATGTTTATTTTATAACAGATTTTATTACAATTACGATTTACAGCGTGATGTCACATAGGCTAATAATTCATGCAGATATAATTCAAGTGAGGTTTCAGGTTCTCAAGGCGTCGGGTATAAATATGACCATGTTGTAGATTGTTGAGCTGTGCGGTGTGGTAGAAGTTTACCGACGTTACAGCCCAGAAGAAAGAATTCTTCATCACTAATATCGTTTTGTTTGAAAGTTATCGTGATGCACTCGCCCTTTTGCTAAAGCTTTCCCAGAAAATGATTCTTGTAGTCAATACCGATTTCTGCTTCCATGAAATTCACGTCACTCTGTAACATGAATAGATTTTAACGGTCCCGGGCGGCGGAGAAAACGTGACAAGTGAATATCCGTGGAGAGCGTGGAACATGCCTATTGTTAATGTATTATTCTCCATCAAAACTTCCAAGAATTTTATTTCGTGTTCAGATACTCTTAGACATTTCAGTAACTTACTGAGTAATGTTTACTTGTTATTATATTGGCTATGAATGTCACTGCTGACGTCACAACCAAAGCCCGTAATAGTTATTTATCTCGTAAAGTGACTTCATGGCGCACGACCCTCTTGTCGATGTTGGTCTTCTGGGTTGTGACGCCGTATGGTCTTGTAGGTAGTAACTTTTGCCTCAAAGATGTAGGCTGTTGACTTCCACCTAAAAGTTCACATGTCTACATTCCATGGTCCTTCATTAAATTATATTCAGTTTCAGTTCTGGCCATTCCACACATTCAGACAACGTTTTTGTAAGACACATTTTTAAGTTGTCCTTCCTTCTATGTTTCTCTTTCCGCAATGGTCCCTTCTCTTCAGCATTCCTGACTTGACTTCATTTCTCCCCCGCGCTACATGATTATCCAAACCAATTCTTTCTGATTCTACTATTCTGATGGTTTTAGATAGATGGTACACTATATAAAGTTCAGTATTCTCGAAACCTTGCTTGCCTTTTCTTGGGTTCAAAATCTTCAGATCTTCGTTCTCATATACTCTAAATCTGTGTTCATTCCTTATAGTTTAAAATCTGTACAGAAAAACAGACATGAATGTTTTGTACATTTTTACCTTCTTATTCTACCTGTCATATTTAACGACTCATTAATAGCTCGTTTTATATTGCCAATTACTAAGATGGTCAATAAATAACGAACTGAAAATGGCGTGGAAAGAGATCGTGACCTAATTTAATTAAATTTCCCGGAATTTTCCTAGGAAAAGCCAGGAGAAATCAGGAAAAATCTCAGTTTGGATAATCGGTTTAACGGACGATGTTTGAACCATGCACTTTTCGAATGCAGTGGTGAAGACATCGGACTGTGGTGCCCTTTCGCGGAGTCCTAAAGCTACAGTCGTGTTTCCTGAGACAGAGTTCTTTGCTGTGACAGTATACCAGGTAAAATGTAACAAGTTTATCACATCTCTTTAAATTGAACTCTTAAGTAATAATTACCAAAATAGAGTTTGTTTTGAAATTACAAATACGTGAGATACACATTTTTCTATTAGTGTTATAATTAAATTTCAAAGCTCTTTGTTATTCTCCATATGAATTATGTAACTTCTTAGGTCTGTCCTACATAAGGCCTCCAGAACTCACCCCGCCTCTTGCCAAAACGTTAGTTAAAACCAGACATTCGACGTGGCTCTCACCCGGAAGCCAAAGTTGTACGTTGAACTCCAGCTGCAAAAACCTGTGGACAAGAAATATAATTTGTATGGTGCATTGGACTAGCAAAAGGAGTGTTGTTAAGCGTATTTATTTCAGGAATGAATATTTGTATGATACTGCATGACTTCTCAGTTGTCCTACATGCTTTATTTATTATGTGAAAGTATTTATAACATTTAAGTCACTAAGCAGTCTCTTCCCTCTTATCCGTAGCTTGCAGATCCTCTCGTTGACTGCCTCAAATTCCAGTATGCTCTTCCGCGTTCTCCTTGTTACTATGAACCCAGTTCCATACCATCCATCCGAGGCTCTTGTCTTTGTTTCATAACAGTCTGTGTTTTACAGGGTGAGGTTGTCAACCTTACGCCCAAAGCCCAACCTGGAGGACCAGGGTATATCTCTTTGTCTGGCCCTTACCCGTATTGACCTGTCCGGCTTGGGAGGCCATACCGGCAGCTAGGCTACCGCCAGCATAGCTCTCAGGTTCCCATATTCCTGGTGTCCACATTTATAATGTCCAGACCTTGCCCGATGTTCGTCCAAATTTGATGTCTGTTCACCACACACATCGCAGCACACTAAAGTGCTAGTTTCTCCAATGCGTTGGAAATGCTGGTGAGCCAGCTTTTTGCCATGGTTGTACCACTGACCCCAACCATTGCTGGAGATGATGGTAGGCTGTCACACGATTCTTCTTCAGGAGCAAGAAATTCTGGGCGAAACTCTTCACTTGGACTTGGACTGATACACGTAGCAAAATAACTAAAACAGAAAATACTAATAACAGTGATTTACAAAGTTTTGTACTTCACTCAGTAAGCATACTCTTATAATACACAATAAATAACTGCATCAATTTACACAGATGTCTAACTATAATCTACTTTGTTACACTGCAAAACTGTGTATCATCAGGCTCCTTGCATTCCAAACGCTGAACAGTAGCTGTATGAGCCTATAAATGCTTCACTGCAATATAAATGCCACAATATAGGCCATGTAGAGCCACAAAGCTACAGCTGAACCCACTGAACATACAAAACAGTTAAATAGTTTGAAATAAAGCAAAAATGTTTCAGCAAAGTGTGTGCTGTGTTCATATTACCAATTTATGCAAAAATAAAATACAATGAGTACAAAACAAAGCAACATAATTTATAACACGAACTACACGAGGTGTTCAAAATGGCATACACTGGTTTGCCCAAAAAGGATAATTCATCATAAACAGTCAGTGCAAAGAGCCTGCCATTTTACAAAAAGTGGATATTTCTGGTTATTCCTTCAACCCTTGTGATGTGGAAATTTCAATATACAGTACATAATTACAAAAACCATTCAATAAATGCATCTCAAAGAAACCACAAAAAATTAATTAATTTAAACTGTTGAAACGTTTTCTACATTTGTTAATTGTTAATGACATGGCAAACAAGTGCCAAATCTTGTCATTTGGCATACTGAGATGCCGACAACAGGGCGGAATTAGGTAATTAAATTCAGAATTTATTCGAAGCAATCAGGTTATAGTTACATGTGGAAACGTAATGAAAATGTTACCTATTCATCTCATCCTCCATGTGCTGTTTCAATTCAAAATCAGAAAATGGAGCAAGGAACTTATGAAACTGCCAACGCCATCCACTACATTCAACATGACTGCGTGACTGATATAATGTTCACAACTAACACGAACACCAAGGCTTCAAAATGAACATTATTTAAATGTGACAACGGCTCTGGACACGAATCACCAAGTGTTTCAAAAACACGTTTTCAAATATTTGATGTTCACTTTGACCATAACGTTATAAGGTTGGTAGCTGGCACAGATTGCCAACGTTAGCTTGTTGTCTGATATAGCAAGCCTCTGAGTAGCTGCAAACTGTTCAAATTGTATAAATAAGCACGATTTTCCAACAGAGGAATATTGTGGTCCTCGAAAATAGAGAACTAAATCCCAAATATACTCACAGCCTACAGAAGATTGCAAATATTAGTTGGAATTTCAAACTGTCAGATTGGCTCTCCTGATCACTGCCTTCTTGATTGAAGTATATCTAATGTCTGCCTGTACGCAGTAGGCTTTTTTTACAATGTAGTAATTGGTGCAGGAGACCACTGTCCTGAATTTTACTTCTATTTAGAGAGATCATTACAAAAAATTTGGCTAACTGCAGATGTGAATCCGAAAGCTTTGCTCACCTGGCTTACTCCCAATTACTTAGTCCACTTGGACCTTGTCCTCCACCACATACTTAATAGTTTCAATCAGCAATAGTGACAGACCAATTTAAACACTTCTTTCAATATAATGTTAAAAACTACTTTGTGGGCCTAATGGTTGAAAATAACTCCCTCGCTGCTCTTCAGTTTTATCCTTACAATATAAGTGCATGAAGCTGAAACTTGACACACTCATATGCAAGCAGTGACATAATTTTTAAACTTGATGTGTTATGTGGAAGACCATTCAAGGACATCTACAACCATTACAGCACCAGTATGATGACACAGATTGGAAAAATGTGACATGAAAGTCAGAATAAGAACAGCATGTAAAAGTTTTTCAAAAATATTTCTGAGCAACCTGAACATTTTGACAATATAAATATCCAGTAGAAGCATGTGGTTTACATCAACACCACTGTATTTTCTCACAAACTAGAAGCTTTGTATGTTTTTTAAAATGAAGTCTGAAACTTTAGCTACATTTCATAGCTACAATGTAGGTGGTAAAGTGTACAGAACATAAATTTGTAGCGGAATATGTTTTGTACTTACACACAGTAAATAATATAAAATGCAGAGAAAGATCGCGGATTATTCATTGCAACAATAAAATGAGACAGCAAATGTATTACAATAATAACAAAGCCCTGAAGAATACAGGTTGAAACACCTGATGACATTACACATGAAAATG